AGACGACCTGAAAACAATGAACATAAGACAATGGAGAAGAAGGGCACAAGAGAGATCTGAATGGAAGGACATAGCCAGACAGGCAAAGACCCATACAGGGTTATGATGCAAAAAGTAGAAGAAGAAGTGATGGTTTGGCGGAGAATGTTCTATGACGGCATAGAGTGTTTATATTTTTCTGAAAAGGGCGTTAAAACAGCGGTGAGAATATATAATAATAGATATACAGATGAATGGCCTAATACACTTCGGCGCCTTTGTCTAGATAAATACCTTGTACTAATATTGATGGCAAGACTGGGTATATTATATATATATATATATATATATATATATATATATATATATATATATATATATATATATATATATATACAAGACAGACAAGGATGATAAAGTCGGACCAAATGGATGGACATACATATCCTAATTCTACTAGCACATGTGAAAAAGAAGTCAGAGAAAGTTCTACTCTGACATTTCATTGTAGTCCTCTTTGGAATTTGATCTCGATCCAGCCTATACATGTGAAATCACAATTGTTGCCCTGTCGGTACCCTATCTTACTATATCTATCTGCAATTATTTTTTATTGTGGCACCCCATATTTGATATAATAATGTTATTCCATCTTCATTTAAAAATAACACAATTGTTAGTCGCTTCCTCGCGGTATATGTGTATCTTCGTATTTTTTATTCCCGAAACATCGTGGATGCACTATATTTTAAACCTTAGAAGGTACCTCCAATTATCTTTCTACTACTTGCTACTTGTGAGCCAATCTTTCATTTTTTCATAGACTACAGTGATTTGTATACGATGACAATCATGCCTTTGTCTATTTTTTAATAAAATCTCCATAATTTTTTGTAACGTTGATCAGGATTTTTAATGCAAATGACTGCACAACAGTTTTGCTTTAATAAAGCATATCTGATTTGTTAATTAATTATTAAAGAATTTTATATAAGTTTTCATTGTATGTGACGATTTAGTATTTTTCACCACACCACACAGTTATTACAAAATAAAGCTATTCTTTAAAATATTCATTCTATCCATTAATTTTCTTAAGTAGAGTAATATACATAATTCGGTTTTTAATCTCTTTAAATAAAAATATATCAATATTGGTATAAAAATAAATTTAAAAAACTTTTGTTAAAGGGCTAAATGTTTCGTTATATGTACATAAATGCTTGTTAATACAAACGGTATTTATTTAACATTAAAAATGTAGGAAAACCATTTATGTAAATATTGGCAGGTAGGTAGCTATTAAACAGTAATATAAATGCCTATTGGTTAAATATACATATACGAGATGGTGTTATAATAGATGGAAGAAACATGGGAGGTCTCGATTAACGTGTACAACGTGAGGATTTCTTGGCCACAATGGAGACTTCTGGAGCGCACTGCGCTTTTGTAATTGAAACCTTTTCAACCAGGAGATGCTGCTAGTGTAAATTCAATAAACATGTGTCAATAAAGTTCCGTCTAACGGGTTTTCCCATCAACCTATCGATTATTTTTCCGACACCTACTATTTAAAAAAAGACAATCTGTAACGTATCAACTACTCGGCCTTTAAAATTCAACTCCAAAATGCATTTCCATTCTTATAAAATCCAAGTAGTGCAAACTTTGACGGAAAATTATGTTTTGCGAAAAGCTTGTGCTGAAAGATATTGAACCATTTTTCCATTCAGTGCAGATTTTATATTTTTAGTGATGACGCCCATTCTCACTTAGAAGGATATTTAAACAAGTAAAACTGCAGATGTTGGTTATCAACAAACACGAAGGAATTATATAGTTTAAAAAATGACTTTATTTGCCCAATAGCACATATCTCGTTCTATCTATCTATTTCAAAGATAAGATAATCGAGGCTGCAAAAGACTTTGAGGCAACGGTTTCCACGAGTTGTAAGCTGTGGATATTCGATAATACGTGGACATAATTCAACGCAGAAAAGAACATAAAACTAGATACGGACAAACGATGAATACAGAGAGTAATCGAAAGAAATCAGAAACAGTGACGCAAAGACCAAGCTGATTACATCTCTTAAATACGCAGAAAGATAGAAGAACATGACTGTCGAAATGAACCGAGGGATTTATTTCGGAAGATCAAACTCCTTACAAGAAAATTTAAATCTTAAACGTGGTCTGTAATAGACGAGGAAGGTAATCTCAAGACCGATACTGACGAAATATTTTAAACATGGCGAAAGTACTCTAACGAGCTATATAAAAATAACGAGGTACCAGCAGAAAATCAGTGGCCCCCTGACTACCATAGAGAATCTACTGACTCGCTGAAGTCAAAGATGCAGTTAAATCGGTAAAGAGAAATAAATCCCCAGGCATTGATTCAATACCAGGTGAAATACTACAGTTACTAGGTAAAAATGAATTACATAAAATATCATCCATTATATCTGTATCGCTGTATGGAAATCAGAAAAATGGCCATATGATTGGTGTACCTCAATTTATATCTCGCTACAAAAAAAAAAAGGAACTACTACCAGATGTGAAAACTACCGCACACTGTCACTCACTAATAACATATGCTAGTAAAATCTTGTTGCATATCATGAAAAACAGATTAAAAACCTATCTACATACACGAGAATAAATCCTGAACCTGAGACAACTCATTAAAAGTCTAGAGAATTTCAAGTATATATAATTATATGCTTCGTTGACTACCAAAAGGCATTTGAGAACATGACTGTCGAAATGAACCGAGGGATTTATTTCAGAAGATCAAACTCCTTACAAGAAAATTTAAATCTTAAACGTGGTCTGTAATAGACAAGGAAGGTAATCTCAAGACCGAGACTTGATTGTGTAAGCTGGATAAATCTGTGGTCCATTTTAGTAGAAATGGACACACCAACGCACCTGGTGACATTTATTAAAAATCTATACCAGTCCAATACAGCAACAGTACGACTAGATCAGAAGTTCTCAAACCAATTCAAGACCGAGAGAGGTGTTAGATAAGTATGCGTGTTGTCACATGACTTATTCAACATTTATGGTGAATATGTCATGAGGATGGCTTTAGATGGATGAACCGCTGGAGTAACAGTAGCTGGTAGGAAAATCTACAATTTAAGATTTGCTGATGATGCTACACTTACAGCAGCAAATAAGCAAGAAATGTTTAACCTCATGCGAAGAGTTTAGTACGAAAGCAATAAAGTTAATTACTATTTAACTGGGAATAACTGGGAAATTGAAAAGTCAATAAACGTTTTTATCTTTAATTGTGGCTTATTCCCAGTTAAATAGTAATTAATTTAAAATGCCACAAGAAAATAGCTTTAGAACAATAGCAATAAAGTTGGTCTGAAAATCAATAAAACTAAGACAAAAATAATGGTGGTCGACAGATTCCACATTATTCAATTGACCAACATGTTCAGGAATACCAGATAGTGTATAGTTTTGTCTATCTCGGGTCTAGTATAACTAACGATGGTAACTGTGAAGCAGAAGTTCGGAAACGTATTGGTATGGCAAAAAATGCGATGAGTCGGCTAACTTAAGTTTGGAAAGACATATATCTCTCAAAATATCAAGATGAGACTGGTGAATGCCCTTGTATTCTCAATGTTTCTATACGGGACAGGGACTTGGACTCTTTGCGGACGCGAGCGCCAAAAAATTGATGCCTTTGAGATGTGGTACTGGAGAAGAAGCGCATACTTTGGATAGTTCATAGGACAAACGTTTCCATTCTAAACCAACTCGAGATTAAAAAAAGGCGGTTCACAATATGTATGTAACGTATTCTGCAATTTTTCGGTCACGTGATGCGACCAAATTAAGAATTCAGCTGGAAACTCATTCAAAACAGCTGAAGATAGAAACAAATGGAGAAAAATCGTTAGGAATATTGGAAGAAATCACGATACTCAGTCATGGGGAAACGACAAGAGAGCGAGAGAGAGAGAGAGTGAGAGAGAGACATCTTTCATTTGAGATCAATAGATGAACATCAGCAAGCCGTGAGATCCCATATGTCACCGTACTACTCAGCGACTAAAATACTGGCCTTCTAAGCCAGAGCGGTCGAGTTCGATTTTCGACACCAACAACGACATTTTCCTTTCTAATAATGACAAGCCATCACCGCGCTTCGAAGGGCACGTAAAGCCGTCGGTTCCCTTGGGCTAGTGTGCCTTTACAGTAGTTACATGCAACACTGTTAACTATGAAATTGACGCCGGAACAATCTGAAAGGATCTTCCAGGCAAAAACGCTATACGATATTATTCTTATACTTACTGACTTACTCGCGAATTCCAATTACGAGCCACATATTCACAGTAGATTATTAGTAAGACTACTACTAAATTACCTACAGGTAAACCGACTATGAAGCATATTTGCTTACAATCAAAAGAAAAGTATTCTGCAATATATTTCGGACAGTTTGTGAGAATGCAATATGAACTTGTGTTGTTGTAGTTATACTGACTTGAGAGAGTCAGTATAACTATAAGTCAGGATTTCAGTGTAACATACTGGAAGAAACCAAGCATTGCGGGCCATACTTAATGCTAATATTGGCTATGCTAGCTTGATGCTAGATGGGGCAATGCAGGATGTACGAACGATTGATTCTTCTAATAACAAGATTAAATCTCAAAATTAATTAAATATACTTGCCTTCGAAAGGCTGTAGTGGAAAGATAATGCGACTGATTATAGCGAAAGCTAGAGACATTTATTTAATCGTTTTTTTAGGCAAGTTACTTCTGTACTGTATTATTTGTAGTTTTCTTTGAGTCTTTGCTATCTCGGTTATTTTTTAATATTTTCAAACAATAAGGGATTGTTAATAAGTCATAATAGTGATATTATTATTCTACCAATCTTCTACAAATATTATTTAAAATAAATGTTACCAATACTGAAATATTTTTTTGTGTCCTTAATCTCTCGGATATTAAAAATATGTAAACTTAACCATTAAAATGAGTTTTTATGGATAAGTGGTTTATCAGAAGCACTGTAGGTAGTATTATCAAACTGCCGAAGGTGAATCTAAAAAGAAAATATATTTTAAATTACGAATATTTGTAAAGATATGTAATTAAAATTATTGCCAAATAAAACTAGGTCATAAAAATTGTCTATTTATAAAAAATAGCAAGTGTACTGGAATTAATACATATAAGTACATTACTATTAACAGTACAAAACACAAAAAAAGGTTTTTATGGTCACAGCATTGACCTCTATTTTATTAAGTGGAATGTATTTTTTCACAACATGTATAAATAACCTGACATCTGTTCTGAATAAATGCATTGTTGTCATTCCCGCCCACTGCCTGATATTCTTTCAACCACGATGTCTTCCAACGCCATTGAGTTTTTTGCCTTCTACATTTTCTTGTAAAAAGCAACTGAATTAGCTGGTACCTCTACTCGTATCTTGAAGATCTTTATCCATATGTTATATCACGGTATTGTTTGTGCCATGAGGGATATATGAAATTCTGAGCATACGACGACGATAATACCTCATTTCGAAGACTTCTATTTATTTAGATATTAGTTCCGTCAAAATAGTTCATAGAAAAGGGTGGAGAAGACACATGACCGTCCAAACTAGTATTTCTGAGACGATTAGACACAGTATTCACCTTTTCTATGCGATATTTAATCATCTGTGAGTAATACCATTTTCTGATCTAGGCTGCAACCTAGATAGGTAACTTCTAACTACATACTGTTTCCAAATTTTCAATATTTGCTCTAATTTGTTGTCGTATTTCATTATTTTTTATTTAGAAATTTTGGTTCCCTTACACTTTAATTTCATAAAGTTTTTGGGACAAACTTCCGGACCAAACTGTAAACGGAAATGCTTTCGTTAAATGGGCAAAAGTTGAGACGATTATATCTTATCTTTTGTTTAATGCCAAAGATCGACCAACCTTCAGATCAGCAGCTTAGCACGAAAAGTTCTGATTTCCCCCAGACAGCCAATATGGTCCAGTATTGGAAACAGGGACTCCAATCCCCTTAATCAGTTCTATCTCATGTACAAGAGGGAATTTTAAAAAGGTCAACTGGAATGAATAACACCTAATACCAAAAACCACAGATTTGTTGGTGCCATGTTAAGCATAACAAAACAACACACACCAAGAGGATATCACATAGAATACATCCCAGGCTGGTTACAAAATTGCGAGGAATTACACCAGAGGTTTGTTGAAACTGGCGATCAAGAAATAGCGGATGAACTACTTCACTGCCTGGATGCCGCTAGAAGCCTAAAGTGGACCGAAAAAGTGGAAAGCCTTAACTTCCAAACATTAAGCAGGCAATCATGGTTATTATTAAGACAAATAGAAAATGGTGCCTTTACAAAACTCCAAAAGGCAGCCGTAACCCCAGATGCCATAACTTCACACATAATAAAAGCCACACGATAGAGAATGAGATGCGACTAGAGAACTAAAATCTTTAAAACTTAAAGCCACAAATACGTACCATTCCCACCCCTTCTCCAGCAAAGACATATCGGAGGCTCTTAAGACGTTAAGCCAGCAAAAGTTGCTGAGGCAAATATAAAAATAGTTTGGCTACCTCGATTTTTCTCAGACATCATGCAAACTGCAAATATTACAAAATATCTAAAACGCTATAAGATAATAGCTACACTAAAGCCCTGCAAATCTGCTGACAACACAAAAAACTACATACGAATTGCATTTCTGTCTTATCTATAAAATGCTAAACAGGCTATATATAATAAGATTTGCCGAGAGCTATTCCAGGTGATCCCAGTCGAACAGGAAACTTTTCAACTGGAATGAGGTTGTGCAGGTAATGTAACTCACCACTTGCATCGTAGGTAGCATAAATATGCTCTGCTGAAAAATTTTGACCTCTGTGTATATTATTGACTATACAGTGTAGGAAAAATTTTATGGTCGGTATGGACCTTACGTGAGATGGAGTGAGAAACAGCTGTTTAGAAAAAGAGAGGTATATTAGGTCCGCCCTTTATATCGCCAAACAGGCATGCATGGAAAGGGGAAGTTCAACGTTGCCAAACTTATTGGATTTATTTGACCTGTTGTTTTTTTTTGCATTTGAATAATGTTCTAAGATAATCCAATTTGGGCGAAATTGATTTAAATGGCAGCTTACTCTTTTTTTTTATTGGGAATATGCCACAAGTTTACTTTACAATAAGTGTAATATAACATTTTGATTTCCACTTTGGAAATCGTTTTATATACCTAAATAAAATTTATTAATGTTTCGTATTTTAAGTACGATTTCCGAATTAAAAATCTAAACATCAAAATAAGCTTATTTTAAAGTCACATTGTGCCTTATTCCCAATATGAAATAATAAACTGCATACAATAACACCACATTAAAAAATATTCACACAGAATAATTTATTTGGCAACGTCGTCCGTCTGGTCAGAATACCGAGTAACGGGTAGTAGAGGTGGGTCGTGGTAATTTTATCGTTAAGAGCGTAAGAGCGATTAATATTTTTTAAATGCATTCATTTTTTCGAATCCTGATAAAACTAATAAATATTCTTGAAAAATTTAAACGCAGAATGAACCAATACATTATTACCGAGGGCCAAAAGTCCCTGAAAACTTCTATAATGTTTATTTTAATAAGTTATAAGGGCGAAAAAAAAATTAGTATGATTTTTAATTTCAAATATCTAATTCAAAAAACTTTTTGTTTATTCTAAGGGACTTTCGGCCCTCGGTAATAATGTAATCTTTTATTATGCATTTAAATTTTTCAAAAATATTTGTTAGTTTTCTCAGGATTCCAAAAAAAAATGAATGAATTTAAAAATTTAAATTTTTGTAAACAAGTAACTATGATTGTTTAAAAGTAGTTTCAAGTAAGAGAGTACCTACATAAACAAACATAATGGCTATTATCGTTTATGTGTATATTTATTGAAGTGAAAGAAACTAATGATATATTTATTATAACTTGAAAAATAAACTAAACAATACAAATAGTAAATCGTACTTACATTTACATTACACGTTATTATTAAATCACGAATAGTCTAAATTAACATTAAAAAACATAAGTTTTTCTACTATACCTGCTTCTTATTAACCGTCTTCTTTTTTTATTTCAAATTAAACCAGATTTTGAACATGTGTTCACATTTACAATACTGTATGAATATAGGGGTTAAGTTAGGATATACATGGCGATGGTTTTTCCACCGTTGTAATGGACTCTCGATACAGGTGTACGTGTAGATGAGCCATCTCCAATTAATTGATCAAATATACACCATGGATTTAAGTCATATTTATTGGTTTCTTTTTATTGTACTGGTTGATTTTCAATAGTACAATCTTCTTGTTCGTTAATTATAGAAGTAACCAGCTTCTTAACTTTTTCTTTTATTTTTTTATCTTCATTTTTATCAGAAAAATCCTGCACTTTAAATGGTGAATCCATAAATGTACATAATGACAATATGCCACTCTGTTCTATCCCTTTAAATATTTTTGCTAAACCCGATATTAGTAATTGTACTATGTCGGATACTATGGATGTAAGGTTACCGTTTGCTAACATTTTCTTGCAAGATTCTTGCAGGCCGCGTACCATAACAATCACTGAACTACCCTTCAAGTATTTTTGGTCACTCATTGTACTTGTTATTTCTTTAAACGGCCGTAAAATTTGGGAAAGCTGAGAACAAATAATCCAGTGTTTTTTATTTAGATTTGGTCTAAGTCTAAGTCTGTATTATTTAATACCGATGTGGAACGGAAATACACGCCAGTACACCGAAAATATCAAAATACAGAGAGGAGTCCGCCAGGGTTGCGTGCTGTCCCCACTACTTTTCAATGTCTACAGTGATCGGTATTTTAAGAAGCGCTCTCTGACTCAATAGAAGGTATATCTATCAATGGAGAAGTTTTGAATAACTTACGTTTTGCAGACGATGCAGTAATAATTACGGATAACAACAATGATTTACAGAACCTAATGCAACGCCTTAATGAACGCTGTCATGAGTACGGACTGAAGATAAATTTAAAGAAAACTAAATGCATGATCATGACTAAATCTGTACAAATATCCAATTGACTATTGAAGATACTGCAATTAAGAGTGTTAATAACTATAAATACTTAGGAACATGGATAACATCAGATGTAGACCAAATCAAAGAAATTAAGACACGTATTGAAATAGCACGTACATCATTTATTAAACTTAAAAAGTTTCTTTGTTGTCGGGATATAAGGTTAGAACTACGCCTGAGAATGCTTCGATGTTACGTGTTCTCTACTCTTCTTTATGGTCTGAAAGCTTGGACACTAAAACAAGTTCATCTGAATAAGTTGGCCGCCTTTGACTTTTGGTGTTACAGAAGAATCCTACGAATATCATGGATTCAAAAAATGTCAAACATTGAAGTAACTAGAAGGATAGGAAATGAGGCAGAAATAATATTAACTATTAAAAGACGAAAACTTGAGTACTTGGGACATGTGATGAGAGGGCAAAAATACGCATTATTACAACTTATTATGCAGGGCAAAATCCGAGAAAAGCGAAATGTGGGAAGACGAAGAATATCCTGGCTTAAGAACTTAAGGGAATGGTTTGAATGCAGTAGTGCAGACCTTTTTAGAGCGGCAGTCAACAGAGTCGGCATAGCCATGATAATTTCCAACCTTCCATAGAAGATGGAACTTAAAGAAGAAGAAGTGAAACGGATTGCCTCTTCTAACTCAGTCATTCTTTTTAACCTGTAATAGGTGAAGTTCTACCTAGTTTCCACGTCTTGTATTGGCCGTTTGGGAACTTTGTTATGTTGTAATTAAGCCTTTCTGAAGATAAGGTACTTTTTTTAATGTTTTTTGCAGAATTGTCGAAAAAAGGACTTTTTTTTTATCTATTATCAAATCAGTATTGACATAACATTCCTGAAGTAATGAATCTAACAGTTTTTCTTGTTGGCGGTTTATATCCAGGAATCCACCCTGCAAACTTTTTAAAATCTGGTTCTTCACCTATAGAAAACGGATGAAACGAGTCTTTACATAAGTTTAGTAAATCAATAAGTTTAGTCAAGAAAAAGAAACTGATAAAGATGACTTAAGTCCATTGTGTATTTTTGATGAATTAATTGGACATGACTCATCTAAACATACAACTGTATCGAGAGATATACAAGAAGTCGACATGTATTTGTCTAATAATATATTACCCACAATAAATTTCGAACGGAGATTGGAACTGTCCATTACCGTGGTGGAAAAACCATCGCCATGTATATCCTAACTTAGCCACTATATTCATAAAATATTGTAGAATTGTAACATTTTAAATAAAAGAAGAACACAGTTAACAAGAAAAGTAGAAAAACTTGTTTTTAAATGTCAATTTAGACGGTTCGCGATTTAATAATAACGTGTAATGTAAATGTAAGTACGATTTAATGTAAATGTAAGTACTATTTGTATTGTTTAATTTATTTTTCAAGTTATAATAAATATATCCTTCGTTAGGTTCTTTCACTTCAATACTTATACACATAAACGATAATAGCCAATATGTTTGTGTACTCGCTAATTTGAATCAACTAGTTACAGTTTACGAAAAACGGTTCCGATAAAAATTTAAAAAACGGGAGGACCCACCTCTAGTTTTTAGGTATATTAGGATCGGAACCAGAGAATATGTAAAATATCTCTGATCGGAACTATTCGTCTCACTAATGGCCAATAGGTGTTAAAAATATTTGAGGAGGGGAGACCAAGGGGAAATATGATTGTTATCTTTGTCTATTCGCTGAAAATATGATTTTATATCTGCGTTAGATATCCTGTTAAATTTTACCATACCGACCATAAAATTTTTCCTACACTGTAGATGATGTGACTCTACTTAGCTATTAATTTTTCTGATTTTAATATAAGATTCATGCTATTTTACCGTAACACTAAGTGGTCTTAAATTCATCCAGATAAAAATTGTCGCATTCAGAGGGTATTTTATAAATATAGTTTATTGATATTTCTTGTACATTATTGGGTTGGGTTTTGGATAAAATAGATCTTAGTGTGTGTTGTGACATTCTTTTATGGATGGTATTGTTATTTTCGAATTCCTTCTTATAAGTGTTTCAGAATCTTTTTTTGAATGTGTTGTTTCATTTCATCTATCTTATAAAATTCTTTAGTTAAGTGACAATAACAATGGGTAATTATTAGAAGCTATGTAAATAGTGTTTTCCTTCTAAGGGTTTTCGCTAGAGCAGGTATTTTCGACTCTGTCATATAATGATTTGATGATCCCCTTTTTATACTTACGTTACGATTTTAATGGTAATTAAAAAATATCCAATGGTTTTCTGTATCCTTTTATAACATCTCCTATATACTCCTTGTGATTAACACATCCATAAATTATTGTTGTCCATATATGCATAGTGAATTTGATCGATTCTTTTGTACAGATAATGAAATCACGAATTTTTCTAATGATTCTAGTCCATGAGCTCATATTATGGAAAACACATCATTTACATACCTCTACCATACTGTGAAACCCACAGATATCTTTATTGTATATGTAAGGCTATTAAGATTTGTTTCCTTTCACCACCAATTGAAAATAACACTCATAGGTTATCTCAATTTTATAACTTTACTTCAGAATTTTTTGAACACGTTTTCCGAATTGGAAATTGATACCGATACGTCAAAAAACAACAAAAATTACGTTATGATACGTTAGATTAAGTTATGAAACATTATTCCCATGTGTCAAATATTTCGTATAAAACACGAAACAGGAAAGTAGTTTCACTTGGAAAAAACACATTTGTAAGAACCCAGTTCATTATTGCAAAATATATGGATTTTAAAGATCCTAATAAAGTTACTGTCTTTGTCGAAGGTAGGCAATTCTTCTGACAAGCGCTGTAGCCAATATGACCGCACAAAAGCGCCATATCGGTTGAAGTGTACCTCGTTGGTAATATAAGTTGCTCATTAGGCGTAAATATTTTCATCGATATCAGATTGTGTAGTAAACAATTAGTTGAAAACAATACACTTGTAGGAATCCAGTTCATCATTACAAAATATCTGGGTTTTAACTATCCTGATAAATCTAATCCTAATAAAGTTACTGACATGCGCTGTAGCCAATATGACAAGACATATGAAAAATGGATATGAGAAATTAATAAATCTATATAAAAGGTCAATGAAGTAACGAAAAAGAATAGACAAAATTTCACTTACATTAATAAATTTTTTTAAAATTACACCCATTACCTGTAAATGAATATTTACTTCTGCACATCGGCTGAGGTATGGAAAATTTCCCCCAGACTTAAGGTGAGCTAATTTGGCACTTGGGTAACATTTGTACAACTCTTCTCGCACTGAGTTCGATAACGCGGATTCGTCGTATACGTCAATAACGGTAATTGGTAAGTCTACTAATTTGTGAATCTCCACATACCCACGAAGACAATTAAGGGTTAATCTACTTGCTAGTTCAGTCTGCGGTAAAGTTTCCAGCTAAAACATAAATGTTAATATCAATTTGGAGAAGAAAAGCCATATTTAGCGATAGAAGCCATATTTTATATTATAAATAGGCACATATATATATATATATATATATATATATATATATATATATATGTTTATATATATATATTTTTTTCTCCTGTTGCCGACAAGAATGTAGCGTAGAATAATTTTTAAATAATTTTAAACTGTTTGTCCTTGTTTAGTGTAGTGTTATGTACAATTTATGTTTAATATCATGTTAATTATGTTCTGCGCTTGCTGGATAGCCCAAATTTGACGAAATGCCCCTGATGATGCTGTAGAAAGCGAAAGTACTTGGGCAAGATTGATAAAATTGTGCTCGATACCTGCCTTTCACCGCCAAAAATAACGCTTTGTATAAGGTGATAACTAGCATACCGTTCGCCAATTCTTCTGTAGACGAAGTTTCATTCATGTGGCTTCCATAACTGAATCTGATCGGTGAACAAAACCTTTTTCACATCAGTATTCACTGCTCGCTAGTCCAATTAACATATACAATTAAAATATATCATATTTTGGTCCACGAGTGTATGTAATTTTGAAAAAACATGGCACGGGAATGTTTAAAAGTTATGCTGTCGCTAACACAAGGTTTCTCGTTTAGTTTTTTGCGATAATTAATATTTTTCTTGTTCCCCTTGTTCGGGAGGGATTTCCCTAAACCACATGGTCAACCATAGGGAGTATAAACTTGGAGTAGCATGGACACTGCTATGAAAAACTCAACATCTGACCGAAATTGCAATAAACCTACACATTCAGCCTACATTCAAGCCAGCATCTGAAGCTAACAACCTACATTTTTTAAATTTTCTACGGCTTTAGGCAGTATTTGCTTTGATTTTTATTAATATTAACATTTAATTTAATTTTTAAAGTATAATAAATAAATATGATTGGTTAATATCTTGTTTTATTTGTGTCAGCCAAACTCATCATTCAGATTTGAATTTAGGATAAGACGAATTTGAGTTGATTTTTTATATACCTACCTTAAAAAATATCAAAGACTTACTCTTTCTACCATAAAATCTATAGCTTCTACCATTTCTGGATCGACTTTCGATGATCCAAAATTACCCATTATCATTTTCTTTAGTACTAAAGCCGGTAAAATCCAAAATATTGCAGCCGAATCATGATTGTTAAAAATGGAAGTATCTGTAAAGGTATTGCATAAAATCAAGGAAGCCACTCGAGGACGATGTGCTGTGTGTTCGGCAAATTTTTGAGCTAAATATCCACCTGAAACGCAGTAATTATTCATTAATTCATAGCTGGAAAATTTAAACCATTAATTATATTTTTAAGAAAGAGTTTTACGATGAACGGCAAAATTTAATTAATGAAATGAAGAACAACCACTACTAGAAAACAAATCATTTGTTCGATCTTCCAATTTTTGGAAGCATAGCTTTCTTATTGCAGGTTACGGTAAATCGCGCAGATGTACTCTAACTTATACTTCTTTTTATGCTATTTTCTTTTTTTTTTGTCCTAAGAACTTAGGGATTGCCGGTATTTTTCTTGTTTTCTATAGTTTTTCCATTTCTCTGTACTTCTTCGCCCCTCCAACTATGGTTTTGTTTTTGTGTTTTCGTACTCTTCCAAAGCTTTATTTGGTGACTCATTAACTATCAGTGACTATTATGAATGCATAATTTGATAAATCCATAGTATTTTCCAACGTTGTTGAAATCGTTAAAATCAGTTTGAAATAATCTTTAAAATCTTCTCTAGTTTACAGGTCCAAGTTTTGTAAACTGTAGCTCTTTTTATCGGTTTTTGATAATATTGCCTTTTTCTCTTCCGTTTAATTGGTTCACTTCTTCTTCGAAATTCTACTTTGGATCCTAGGATATAATAGTCAATAGTCTCCTAAAGAAGCCAAGCACATCAAATAAGCCTACTACTTCACTATTTTTTTTTCTCCCGGTTCGACTGTTTAAATCCCCAAGTATTTTCGTCCTCTTATATTTCCTATCCTATTCCTATCTGTTATTTTTTCATTACGTTGCTCAAGGAATCATTTTTGTGTTATATGAATAAATTGTCAATCCCTGTATATACTCCCAGTATTGTTACTTTTTAGTTACGTAAATTTAGATTTAAATTAATAATTCGTTCGTTAAATGCTTCCCAGGTTGTGACATGTTTACTTAGGCTTCTCTCGATTAAGATTGATATGCCCTCCTGTGATCATTTATCATTTGGACGTATTCTCCAAAATTTTTGGAATTCTTGCCTTTTCTTTTTATTTCGGTAACAATCATAATATCCACAATTATTGTATTTGAATATATGAGATTAAACTACAAATGATTGTAATAAAAGTTACATTTTATAAATTTGTTTTGACGTTTGGATCTCCAATCAGGAAAACGTTTTCAATAAAGATTATTGATGTAATCTTTTAAATCTCAATCTCTTTTGAAAACAATGTCCGGATTGGAGACCAAAACGCTAAAACAAATGTAAAATGTAATTTTTATTACAATCAAATTGTAGTTTCATCATCATCATCATTCAATCTTCGCTTATCCACTGCTGGACATAGATATCCCTCATAATTTTCCATCTATTTCGATCTTGTGCCTCTTGCATCCAATTCCTATGACAATGTTTTAGATCGTCAGTCCAAAGTGTTGGTGGACGACCTCTGCTTCGGTAGGCATCATCTCTTAGTCTCCATTCCAGTATCCACTTTCTCCATCTATTATCTGGCATTCGAGCCACGTGACTTGCCCAGTTCAATTTCAGTGTTGCTACTCTCTCTACTGCATCAGCCACTCCTGTTCTTTGTCGTAGCTGGCGATTTGGGATCTTGTATCGTAGTGAAACTCCATCGCCCTTTGACACACACGGATCTTTTGAACTGTTCTCCTTGTCATGGTCAACATTTCCGCATCGTAAGTCAACACTGACAAAACACACTGATTAAAGGTTTTTCTTTTAAGGAATATTGGTATATCAGACGATTTGAAAATATGGTTCAGCTTGCCGAAGTCAGTCTTATACGACGGAGAAGCTCAACTGTTTGGTTATCTTTTCCTATGCGGATCTCATGACCTAGGTATTTATAGGCCATTACCTGATCTATGGATCTTGTTCCTACGCATATATCTTCGCTGACTACAAGATTTGTCATCATCTGGGTTTTAGATATATTTATTTTCAATCCCCCTTCTAGCGAGGAAAGGTAGAGCTGATTTAAAAGTTCTTTGGCATCATCTAATATATCAGCTATTAGTACAATATCATCTGCAAACCTTAGATGGCTAAGCTTTTCTCCGTTTATGTTTATGTCCTTGTCGGTCAGTTTTACCCTTTTACATAGTTTTACATAGTGAACAGTTTTGGCGATATGGTGTCCCCCTGACGTACTCCACGTTGTTAAATTTATTATATTTCATTTCTTGCACTGACCTTCGAACTTCATTGGGTGTTACGTCCGGTAAAATTTCAGATCAGTGATTGATTATCTTTGGTAATGATCCACTCCGGTTACATTGCTGTTATTTGTATAGTTGTCTATAAAAACTCTCTATCGTGTTTATAATTTGAACTCTATCGTCAATGATTTGCCCTTGTTCATTTCTTAATTTGTGGACGTTTTTTCTTCCAATGGACATGCTTTGTCTGAGTACTTTCAAGCTTTTATTTTCTTCTATTACTCTAGTTATTTCCATCGTATTGTATCGTCTCAGATCTTTTCTGACTTTCTTTTTAATTTTCTTATTCAAAATTCTTAGTTCATTTTGGTTATGATCCTGATTTTCCCTAAGTTTTCTTCTTTCCTATAGAAGATGTTTTGTGTTGTAGCTTTTGTTATTGTTTTCAGGACGAAGACAGTATTTCTTTTCAGCTTCTTTCAATATTTGAGTAATATTATTGTTCAATTTGTTGATGCTGATATTCTCTATGTCGTGTGTATCCAAACTAGTCTTAATATTTTCTTCGTAAAGTGTTATATCTTCTGTGAACATCCACATTCCACTTTTCTTTTTGAGGATCATTTTTGTTCTTTCAACTTCAATGTTAAAAGTGGTTTTTGCTCTAATTAGTCTATGGTCACTCCCTGTTGAAAATGTATTCAATACTATTACATCCTGAACAATATCTTTGCGATTTGATATTATGAAATCAATCTCATTTTTTGCTCTTTGGTTCGGACTCTTCCATGTCCACTTATGTTGGGGCTTCTTTTCCGAAGAATGAGTTCACCACAAAGAGATTTTCCTGATGTAAGAAGTCAAGAAGCCTCAATTGTGGTTTAATTTCATATAAATACAATATTTAACGTCACAACAAAACAATTTCAGAATCCACATTGCCAATGCAATACATAAAAAATATTATTTTTAGAGATAATTGAATAGAATAATTTGTTTTTTCCATAAAATCCATTATAAATAAATTATTTACGAGGTTTACTAAAGAAGTTAATATTATATAAAGAAGGTTATAATATATAATAATAATAAATGTTTATCTTTTACAATAAAAAATACCCCAAATATTACTAAATAAAAAATAAAATAAAATTGTTTAAACAAATTAGATGATTTATTTAACAATTTATTTATTTAAATAATGAATATTCGTAATGTACGCACAAAGTACATACAAATTAAAAAAAGAAACGTCGAAACCCATAAACACGACCCAGTGATACAGTTAACAGTTCCTTCCCCCTCCAACGCTCCCGTGAGTTTCAAAGCCTGCAGATTTTGAGGACCACAGGCAATCTTTTTCGAATTTTGCACATTAAAACTTTAAAGTATGTTCTTTCAAGTAACGTTAACAAGACCTCTTAATTATTATAAACAGGTAGTAAATAAGTTTACCTATCTGTGTTCTCTCATAACAAGCGATAACGACACATCTGAAGAAGTAAAACGAAGTGTATTGATAGCGATCAAATGTTATTTTGGACTAAATAGGTAGCTAAAAACAGAAATTTAAGCCAAAAAAACCAAATTAACAATATAAAAAACACTCATCCTACCAGTGCTGACATATGGATCACAAACATGGATCATCTCCAAAACACACGCAAATCGTCTACTCGTCTTCGAGAGGAAGATACTACGCAGAATAATGTGCGCAGTCTGTGAGAATGGTATTTGGAGAAAGCGACGTAATTTCGAATTGTACGAGATGTATAAAGAAATAGTTAATGGTAGAGATGTAATATCTTTCATAAAAATAGGTGGACTTAGATGGGCTGGTCAAGATCAAATGAAAAGTACCCACCCAGACAAACCTTATTGGCGGCACTAGTAGGAAATAGTAGTAGAGGTAGACCAAGACTGAGATGGAGGGATGGTGTGGACGAGGACGCGAGGAAGATGCGTAGCAATCTGGCAACGGTTGGCGATGAAAAGACACGACTGGCGAAGTAGACTGCGGAAGGTCGAGGCTCAACTCTGATGAGCGAAGGGCTGTACCACCGCTGATGATGATGATGATGAATTGTTATAAATAAATCTGCTGTCAATGGACTAATTTCGTCCCAAATTGTTAAAAATTATTCTAATTGTTTATAAGCAAAAATCGACATGTTTTTGCAAAATGATTTTGCAACATTTAAATCTTCATTTTTCCGTTTATTTCTTTTTAATAATATTTATAGAATTTTTTTAAGCCATTCTCTCTATTCTGATTGCCGAATATAGGCCTCTCCTAATTTTCGTCATTCATCTCTAGTGTTTGTAAGACGTTTCCACATTGACCCTGCAGTTCTTTGTTCTGTTCGACAGCATCTTTTGTTCTATTACGAATGTCTTCATTGGTTTTATGGTCTTTGAGGAGATACCCAGCATCTGTCGATCCATAGCTCTCTGAGTTTTTCTGATCTTCTCCATGTTTATTTTAGTGAATGTCCAGGTTTCAGCTCCATTATGTAAGTACAGGTAGGATACAGGAATTAAACATTTTGGTTCGCAGTCTTTTAGGTATATTTTTATTTTTAAGTACGTATGAGAGTCTTCCGAATGCTACCCATCCCATTTTTACACGTCTGCTTATTCAGAAACTTCTTCTTATTTCAGAAGCTATCCGTATTTGGTGTAACTTCATCATTTTCTGACTTATATTGTTGCGAAAAAAAAAATTAATTTGGGATAATCAAATAAACAATCTTTTAAACTATTCGACCGATCGCTAAATTTTGATCATATTTTAAACAAAAACGTAAAATGAACTAAGTTCTTAGTTCATTTTTATAAAAAGTTATTAACATTTATAAAAAACCGAAATGTCTGATTTATTTATTTATTTTTTAAGCCCCAAATAAGGATAAAACCATTTAAAAAATACCATTTTGAAGGTTTTTATATGATCTGTAAGATTATTACTCTCAAATTTGTTTCAAATGCTTCACTTTTTGCTGATGAACGAAAAAAGCAAAAATTAATTTGTTAATAACTAATTACTAACTAACAAAAAATCGACTGCAGGAAACATATTTATATCTTGTTATAAAGGTTCATATTACTTAAAACAACGATCGTTTACCTGGTTGGTCAGTGTCAAAAACAGTGCATTTTTTTGCTTATTTCCTGTACTATATTGGTAAAATTTATTTTGATAATTTCAACATAGAAATTCTTCTCTTCAAAAATTTCATCACGAAACTTAAAATTTTTGTAACTTACCTAAGGAACAACCAAATATATGAACTCTATCAAGATCCAAATAATCTAATAACTTTTTAAATCCTTCACACCATTCCCTTACATTCCAATAAACAGGAGATTCCGCTGATATAACTCTAATTCCTTTAGCTGAGAGAGCCAACGCTTGTTTGAAGAAAATATCAGCTGTTCCAGAAACCGGAGGTAGACATATTAGTGGGCAACGAACTGATTTGGGGCCACAGTCATATATTCGCCATCCCTAAAATTATTTGAAATATATTTTAACTGCATAAAAACAATAAATGTGTAAGTACTAGTATTATCTGTATATAAGTTTGATCCACCATATCTAAAAACTTTTTCTGGAAATTATACAAACAATATCTTTACGCAGACGACTTGGGGGTTTATATCAAGGGCAAAGATTCTTCACTTATGTCGAAATACTTACAAAATTTTCTAAAACAACTGGAAGAATGGTCCTGCGACACGGGATTTAAATTTTCCGTATCTAAAACAGTGGGAATGGTATTCACTAATAATCGCGCTTTTAGTAAACCAATATTAAAGTTTTTTAATTCAGAGCTCATGTTTAAAACAGACATAAAATTCGTGGGAATGTGATTGGACAAAAAACTATCCTGGAAAAAACACATAGATCAACTTGTCGCATCGTGCAATAAAAGATTAAATATATTAAGAACTTTATCTAACAGGGATTGGGGCTCTGATTACGATACACTAATTAGTGTATATAAAGCATTAATTAGATCTAAAATAGATTTTGGCTCCATTGCGTATATTTTTGCATCCGACACAACACTAAAACCATTAGATAGTATACACAATACCGCATTAGGAATTGCTCTGGGAGCATTTAGAACACCACCGGTAGAAAGTTTATATAGTGAAACTGGAGAATCATCTTTACTATAATACACCGACGCATTTGCAACTTCTATAGCATCCAATCGAAATAGACCTATTTTTGATAATACATTCAATAACAAACATACACTTCAAAATATGTAGATCTAATTCAGACAAACCTTTCTATGAGAGAATTCGATTCTATCTAAGATATTTAAACCTAGATTTTCCAGATATATTTCAAATAAATTTGAACCATCTTCCACCTTGGTGTACCAATATCCCCGAAATAAATTATAATCTTACTGTATTTAATAAGCATTCTACAAATCCGGCTGTTATTAAAAATAACCTCAATTCAATCATAAATAAACATGGAGAAAATTGCTGCAGATATTTACAGATGCATCCAAATACAACACAGGAGTTGGTGCTGCATATGTAACGTCTAACAATCAATTTCCATTCAGACTGCCCAAATATTTCAGCATCTTCTCTGCTGAACTTTATGCAATATTCAAAGCTCTTGAACATATCAACAATAATAAAATACCAAAATGCTTGATTGTACGTGATTCCCTTGGTGTTTTACAAACCTCAAATCATATGTATCCTAAAAGTCCCCTAGAAAAAATGGTAAAATCTGAACTAAAGAAGGCTGAAGAAAATTCCAAACGCATTACCTTCATTTGGATCCCATCTCATATTGGTATTGATGGAAACGAAGCTGCAAACCAGTGCGCGCGTAAAGTGTCGGAAAGTGTCGAAACAGATGTAACGAAGTGTCTAAATCCTGCGGGTGATAGAAAAATGTCTATAAAAAATTTAATTACGTGTAAGTGGAATCAAGAATGGAATTATTCACAGATAACACTACGTAAAATTAAAGACAATGTTTATCCATGGCTACCTAAAACTCGAAACCGAAAACTGCAAACCATCATTACTCGTCTAAGTTTAGGCCATACAAGATATACACATTCGTACCTTTTTACCAGAGATAATCCCCCTAAATGTGACATTTGTGACGAACACAGTGTTAAATATTTTTTAATTGACTGTCCACTTTTTGTAAATGAACGCAACAGGTTCAATATTCCAAACAATATCAATAAACTCTTAGGTACAGACTTTAATTATGTTGATTTGGGAAAATATTTAAAATGTATAGGATTATATTATAAAATTTAAACTATTAGAATTGTACACCTACACTGTATTGCCGCTAATCACCTTATGGTGGATGCGGTAAACTTTTTCAATAAAAAAAAACAAACATTATAATGATGAAAGTGTTGCAGGTGTGATTCCATAATTCGCTATCTTAAAAAGAGATATATAGATAATTAATTTGGAATGAAGTACCTAACTCTTATTTGATAACATAAAATGTTATAAGGCCAAAATAGATAGACATGCGTAATGTACAAACAAATCACCTGAGAGTTACCGATGATATTGCGTTAATAGCAAAAGATATAGACGAATTGCAGGAAATGTTATTATACCTAAATAAATATGACTAAAAATAAATCTAGCAAAAACTAAATATTTAATGAGGATTTAACTCTGGACAATAATAATATAGAAAAGGTTAAGTCGTATGTATACTTAGGACAAACATTCGAATTAACAAAGCTTAACCTAAAGGCTGATTTAAATAGAAGATGGTCCTTAGCATGGGCACCATTCGGAAGATTACAAACAGTATTTAAATCAAACTTACCAACTACTTTAAAGACAAAAACTTTTTATCAGTACGTGTTGCCGGTTTTGACATATGGAACTGAAACATGTGCTTTTAACAACAACATATTTCATAAACTCCAAGTGACCCAGAGAGTTATAGAATGCTAAACATTAAGAGCGTAGGCGCAAAATTTCGGGCCAATGCTTTTTAAATGCATTCATTGTTTTCGAATCCTGAGAAAAATAAAAAATATTTCTGAAAATCATGAATGTGTTGCTTGTGTGAGTCCATATCCAATAGGTAAAGAAATAATGATAAGACTTACTCACAATCAATTTAATTTAACAATCAGACGACCGGTTTCGCTTTCTACAATTTGCAAAGCATCTTCAGGTCTAGATACAAAGTTAAACTAATGCTGCAATAAAATAAACCCAATTAGGGTGGTGTCTAATAAAGATAAAATAAACAAATAAGTTAGTTCGTACAAATTATAGTAATTATGCCAATATTACATGTCTGTGGTTTTCAAAATGAATAAATTTGAATATATAAAAGGTATTAACAGACAAGGTAAGACCCACAATTGGTATAAAGTAGTAATATTATATTGTAATAAATTAATAAATGAGCAGATAAATAAAACAAAACAAACATTACTTACATGCCGGTACTCTATTAATTGATGGATGGTAGGTCATGGTTGCAAAAATCATGTATTGTTGATTGGAGAACTTTAATGTGCTATTGCAGTTGTTTTGACAATAAACGGGAAGTTCTTGAGGAGAACAGATTTGATCCAATGAATTAGAGATAGGTATATTGTGGTTGTTTGTCAGATGAAAGTGATGTTCTTTACTATTGTATTATTTAAATTATTTGGAATGTGTGTTATTTATTGAGTATTTGTGTTATGAAGGAGACAGTTTTATGACAATGAATAAGAGTAGCTGTACCGATTGTGTGGTTGTGCAATTATTTTGACTTGTAATAATCAAGTCTATTGGCAAAATTAATCAATTATTGTAAAGTCATTGCCTGTTCTGTAAGTCTGTTAATACCTTTTATATATTCAAATTTATTCATTTTGAAAACCACAGACATGTAATATTGGCATAATTACTATAATTTGTACGAACTAACTTATTTGTTTATTTTATCTTTATTAGACACCACCCTAATTGGGTTTATTTTATTGCAGCATTAGTTTAACTTTGTATCTAGACCTGAAGATGCTTTGCAAATTGTAGAAAGCGAAACCGGTCGTCTGATTGTTAAATTAAATTGATTGTGAGTAAGTCTTATCACTATTTCTTTACCTATTTTTGAAAAATTTAAACGCAGAATGAAAGAATACATTTATACCGAGGGCCGAAAATCCCTGAAAACTTCTATAATGTTTATTTTAATAAGTTAAAGGGGTGAAAAAAAGAGAAAATTTAGTGTGATTTTTAATTTCAAATATCTCATTCAAAAAAACATTTTGTTTATTCTAAGGGACTTTCTGCCCTCGTTAATAATGTAATCTTTCATTCTGCGTTTAAATTTTTTAAAAAATATTTGTTAGTTTTTTCAGAATGAAAGCATTGGCCCGAAATTTTGCGCCTACGCTCTTAAGCTCAGCGATCGCAAGTCATCATCATCGTAAGTGGCTCGACAATCCATTGTGGATCTTGGCCTTCTCACAGAAAACTCGTCACTCCTGTCGATTCCTGGCAACTTCCCTCCATCTTCTAACCCTTAGAATCCGTAGGTCTTCTTCCACATCATCAATCCATCTCATTTGTGGTAGTCCTCTGCTTCTTGTGCCATTTGGTTTTGAAAATGTTGTGTATTCGTGATCTAAGTCTCTGTACTTTTACGAATTTCACAATATCTGGATCGGTGTATAACTGATATAGTTCAAAGTAGTATCTTCGACGCCATAGCCCATTTTAATTTACGGACCCAAAAATCTTTCTAAGAATTTTTATCTAAAAAATACCAAGAAGTCTTTCATCATTTTGAGTTTCTGGAGACCGTGAACAGTTATGTTTGCTATTGCTATGCGTCTTTTTATTTGTCGCTGGCCGTGTTTGTTGCGTTTATTAGCGATCCAAGATATGTAAATTCTTTGACTTGCTCAACGGTATGGTTTTTAATTTGAATTCTCTGTTGGATATTTCGAGAGTTTTTAGAAACCAACATATATTTTCTTTTTTCCTCGTTTACCACAAGTCTTAATTCACTTGCTGCGTCAACAAGCCTTGTAAAGTACTGCACCATGTCTTTCATACTTCTGCCTACTATAATTATATCGTCAGCGAATGCGAGAATTTGCGTCGATCTATTAAAAATAGTTCCATTCATTCTAATATTTAATTGTCTGTGATTTCCTTTTCCAAGGCAGTATTAAAGACTAGACACTCCAACACGCCCTCCTGTCTTAGACCGCATTGATATTGACAAACAATATCCTTTGTAAAAAGTGTAAAAGTCTTTCAAATTTATAATACATTGCCAAAGATTTTATACGCAGATGCTAACTGAGTAATGCCTCTATAGTTCTTACACTTCGGTTGATCACCCTTTTTATGCAGCGGACATATTATTCCCTTCAGCCACTCTTCTGGTACCCATTCATTCTGCCATATAAGTACTATTATTGTATGGATTGCTGCAAAAAGTTGATCACCACCTTTTTTTATACATTTCCAAACATATTTCATCGATTCCTGGGGTTTATTGTCTTTGAGTTTTATGATTGCATTTGACACTTCTCTTGTTGGGTCTTCACTGTGAAGTTGACGTTGTAGATTTTGTTGATTTTCTATGTTGTAACCTCCTTCAATATCGTTTATATTTATATGTTCGCTGAAATGTTGTGCCCATCTATTAAGAACTGAGTTTTTATCATGTAGAATTTCACCGTTAGTGTCTTTACAAATTTTTAATCGTGGTTTAAATTCTCGACGGCTATTATTTAAGGATTTGTAGTATTTCCTCGTTTCATTTTTATCAAATAAACTTTGTATCTCACTGAGAGTGTTCTGTTATCAAATTCAAAAATGAATGTTGTATAGGTGGCAAGTTATCAAAAGAAAGGGTAACTGTACTCGCGTGTGCCAACATGTCCGGTTCCGAAAAAAGGTTAGTCGTCATTGGGAAATCTCAAAAACCACGATGTTTCAGATCTGTTAATCAGCTTCCTGTCACATATAAATTTAATAAAAAATCGTGGATGACAGCAGAGATTTTTAGTGGAGAACTTTTGAAGTGGGACAGATAGTTGGGACATCGAAAGATTCTTTTAATTGTTTTCATTCATTTCATTTCATTCAACTTCTTTTTTTACCCCCAAATTGCACATCTGCAACCAATGGATCAGGGCATCATAAGGTCCCTTAAAATTATACTACAGAAAACTTTTAGTTAAGCGGATCTTTATTAGATACCATAAATTTCATCCACAAAGCATGGACACTCGTAGATAAAAAAACCATCAGAAAATGTTTCGGTCATGCGGGTGGACAGAGACAGGTAGAAAACGAATAAGATGAATATCCTGTAGCAGAGTGGTTGAGGTTAAAACAGTAAGGTCAAGAACTAACCCAACTGAACAATGATGACGAGTTTGATGAATTCATTGCCATTGATGATGACGTCATTGTTTGTAATCTTCCGACGGATAGTGAAATTATCGCGGAAGTAATAAATCCGCGGGTGGAGTGCGTTATCGTCAGTAACAAAAGTGATGAAGATGGAGAAGACAATCGCGGTGAATCTAAGTAAGAAGGTCCTAATAGACAAGATGTGGAAGGTGCTTTAAACATTGTAAGAAACTTTATCCAAAGACAAAACGCAAATGAAGAAGCATACAACTGTTTCACATCATTAGAAAATATGCTAGATATAATGATACAACTATAGTATTGGGTGGTTATCATGTGGAAATTGAACATGTCCTTGTCATTTTAATTTTTGGTATCTTATATGTCACCTCAACCTATTATCTTAAAATATGACCAACAAAAATATTTACATATATCTGCTTCAACAATTTTAAAATTACTTTTACCAAATGAATCACAGTAAATAACTTGAATTTTTTCTTGAAAGAGACCTAATCTTATTAAATTATAAAGGTAATGTGTAAAGTTCTATTTTATTTAAGTACTATTTAGTTTGTTTACTATTAATATTGGCTATGAGTATGTGTGCTTGGTTATATAGTAATTTCCAGCCACTGTTAGTCTGCCAAAAAGTAACTAACTTCACAAAAAAATAATTACTAAATTCACTAGACAGTTCAGACTGGGATTAGCGAACTGACTATATCAATTGCAATTGGGGGAAATAGACACAAACAAATAATATAAATATAAGTCAGTAAGCTGAATATTACACAAATAGACAGTAAATAAGTTATTGGAAGAAAAAAATATACTTTCTTTCGGATTTTAAACCATGAGACCATAAACATATAATACAAATAGACTGCCTACTGCAATACAGACACGCTCCATCAGTGCGACAGAGAAAAATGATGCAAAGCAATCCCTGCATCTCTTTCTAATGGTCCAGTTTTATTGACCATGTGACCTTCTCATTGGTCATTTAGGTAATGTGATTGTATTAAATGTCTCTGTATGAGACATTCAGTTGACCTAAACTTTGAATTCTTTGATTTAAAAAAATACACAAGCATTTAGATCAGTTTTTTTAATTTGGTACTCAATATTGTTTCATAAATGAAAGATGTATTTTAGAAGATGTCACTTCCTCAAATATATTTGTTTTTGTTTTTTTCTTTTTGTTAAGTCCTTTAATTTTCCCTTTTTTGTAAAAATATTTTATTCTTATTATTTTTGGTTCTCAGTACTTAATAAAAAATAGTTCCAAATGGTCTTACAGAAACTGTTCATTTATATTAGTTTTTTTTTTTATCACAAATTATTCCACTCATTTCTTCAGTTCTATTTTGTTTTAACTCTCTACTGTAAGCATGACAATTTATATCTCATTAGCTCTGCAGTATATGTTGATCATAGATATCTAGCTTTTTCACTGATTGAAAATCAAATTATATCCCCAAAGCTCTCATTTTCTTGAGAATTTCCTGTATTATAAAATATAAGTATATGTTAAACATTAAATATTTATACCGCACTATTCCAGAGATACAAATGATGACCTTTGCTTTGAATATTTATATAGGTAACACAAGTGTATATTTCAATTGAATTTAAAAGTTTCATATTCAAAGTGAATATTAATAATTGTTGATGTACTTTGATTCATATTAATGTTGTGTAATAAGCCGGAACCATGTTTACGGAGATGAAATTTATATCAATGAATTCTGCTTCACTTACTAATAATTGTGCAATGATTTTTATGCGGTGCAAGACGTTATTTTTTATGTAATTTCCATTTAAAATATGCCCGATTTTTAAAAGCCACCGCCATTATTCGCCATTATTTACCATGAAACAACAAGAAATGACAAGAATGACAACTGTTTCTTATGGTCAAAAATGGTAATTTTAACCAGTGTTGCCATAGTTATTCAAAATTATGTTTTCTAATTAATTTCAAATTGGAGATTAAAATAACATTTTATTATTACCTACTTTTAATTGAAAATTATACCTTTTTACAAGGGTCAGGTTAGGTTTGGTTACGTTTCTTTACGTTTATTATCATATTTTCTTATGAAAAATAAAAAATTTGATTTTTAATTATATTCCTACTTTTAACTGAAAATTATACCTTTTTTACAAGGGTCAGGTTAGGTTTGGTTACGTTTCTTTACGTTTATTATCATATTTTCTTATGAAAAATAAAAAATTTGATTTTTAATTATATTCCTACTTTTAACTGAAAATTATACCTTTTTTACAAGGGCAGGTTAGGTTTGGTTACGTTTCTTTACGTTTATTATCATATTTTCTTATGAAAAATAAAAAATTTGATTTTTAATTATATTACAAAATTTTATTCTTATTACTGCTTTTTTACGAGCGTTAGGTTAGGTTGGTTTAGTTTTATTGTCATGTTTTCTTGTTGGGTTAGATTTGGTTTATTGGTTTGCATTTTTAATATTAAAATGTAAATGTAATTTTCATTAAATTTTAGGTATTTTAAATGTTAAAACTGGCAACAATGTCAAAAGTACATAAAATTTAACTTCTTGCGCATGGCCGCCATATTGTTTTGAAATATTAAAAATCTTGATTATTTTAAACAATTTTACGCATTTTTTTCATAATTTTACAGTAAAAAATAGTGATATTTAATATGTTTTAGTTACGTTTTTTTTATTAAGACATTTATATATACTTTTCTTTGCTTTTTATGTAATTTTTTTTGGTTCATAATACTTTTTTTTGTATTTTTTCTGATTTTTTTGATTATTTGGGCACTTTTAATAGTTTAAAGCAAAGAAAACATTAAAATTTGAGGTTGTTTTCACTTTTTCGGCTAAGTCCACAAAAAATTGGGCATTTTTAAGGCGTTCCGGCTTAGTAAATAATTACCTAAAATATAAGTATATGTTAAACATTAAATATTTATACCGCACTATTCCAGAGATACAAATGATGACCTTTGCTTTGAATATTTATATAGGTAACACAAGTGTATATTTCAATTGAATTTAAAAGTTTCATATTCAAAGTGAATATTAATAATTGTTGATGTACTTTGATTCATATTAATGTTAATTTGTTAAACAATCTTAATATATACTCTTTATCCGAATTGAAGTAACCATAAAATATTGCCCAATGTTGTTCTTCATTTTGTAATCTTTAATTTTAACCAAAACAAAGATAAAATGAATAGGATTTTGAGAGCTGAAGTGAACAACATTTTTTTCAGACCTGCATACTTGCCTAGTACTCCATGTGATAAGTTATACAGTTTTAAGCTTACCTTAGAATTTTCAGCATCTACTATAATTCGTTTTAAAGGTACATTACTGCGGAAACTTAAATATTCTTGAGATTGACTTAAATCACTAACATAACTCATAGTTTTATGCAAAAGGTTATTACTTTCTAACTATTATAATTATGTTATAGTTATCAACAACTTAAAACTAATCTTGGTTAATTAATTATCACTAAGCAAAACTGACTTTTTGATAAGTGAATTGAATAACCTATAAAAACAAATAAACAAAAAAACCATCAGTGTCAGTATGCGACAAATTATAATCAAAGATAATATTATGACAGCCTAAGATGACAGCACACTGTCATTTGATTACGTCAGTATTGTTTATTATTCTGTGTCAGTCAATGACGTATCAATACTGCAATCAAGTAATGATTAATATTCCATCTAGAGTAAGTTTAAAATTGTCCGTGATAAAAAATATTTACTTAAAAAGTGTTGTAAAATATGTAGTAAAACTATTGAAATAGTTAGTAAATATATGAAATATAAACATGATAAAACACATAAAATAAATGTTACGTTAAGATAATCTAATGCATTTGTCTTGACTTAAATAAATGTCAAAATTTCACAATTTACTCTTATATATATGTAGATATTTTTATTTTTTGAATCGAGGCTTCTTTACTGGCATTGTATTACTCCTTTCTCTACAGTAAAATGCTTAGGCGAACGTCACGACACTAGCGCTACAAGACACGTCACGAGTAGCGTCACGAAATAAGGGTTCTTCACATCGATTCACTACTCTTGATTAATTAGTTTCTAGACATCATATATTTATTCTAAACAGGTTTAAATTAAAAACTGAATGAAAAGTAAAATACAAAATACAGACTTTAAATTAGAAGTCAACAAGTAAAAGAATATCTGTCGATAAAAGATTCAATTCCCAACAATCGTCAAAATTTAAAAGTCACAAATAAAATCTAAGTAATAACAATATTAAATCATCTGTTTAAATTTGTAACACACTTCACGTTTTAAATTTATGAATGTCATCCAATGAATAACAATATTGAATCATTTGTTTTAATTTTTATGACACGTTTTTCTTATTTTTAAACATGATATTTAGTTTATATACTGATTAAATTTATTATTAAATGATATTTATTTATATTTTATTGTTAATTAAATATTTCATCTAAATTTAACAGGTCTGTCAGAAGTAAACAATGTATGCTTTGTAAATACCTTAGCAGGTGGCGCTAGGAGCAAATATAATAATTTATTAAAAAATTTCATTAAAATATAACTCGGTTACAATATAAATAAAAAAATGACTTATTTTAATTTTGAAAATATTTAAATTTTAAAAATACAGTAAACATAGTATGCAGCTTCGCGCAAGTCTACTGTATCACCAACCATACCACTTTTTTTACTTTGTAAAATATTGTAGTGTATTGAAAATTTTGTAACCATGTATATCTAAATCATCTGAACGCTAAACTAATTATATCGCCGCGATTGCCGTCAGAACGCTATGCATTTCCTTTGTTCGCAGCATGTCGCGACCAGTATATGCTGATTCACTTGTTTGTTTCAGACGAGTGTAATCGTGGTCGCCATCGTGATTCGTGAACGCAATCGCGTCGTGATTGCGTAGGTGTGTTTTTCGTTTTGTTATCTCTATGAAGACACTAGTTGCTAATCGGAAAAAACCATAAACTATTATATTTCATTCAAATAGATTAATTCCCCTTGCTTAGATAAATCAGCTGAAAAAGTGAACAAAAATAAAGCCAACTTTATAATTTAAAGTCTCTCAGACTAGACTCTTTAAAAACAAAAATGACTTTTTACAAAAAAAAATCAAATCTTTATTAATTTTATGCATAAATATCCGGGATCGTAAGGTTAGTCACTATTTTCACCTGATGTCTGTCTCTGTCATCGATAATTTAACTTAACCTGTCATCTTGACAACAAATTTAAAAACCATGTAGGTTTTTTATTTTCTTTTTAGATTTAAAATGGTAGTAAAATTTGATACTAGTGTTATAAATAGTAACGAAGTAAATATAATTAAGTAGAAAACATGAAGAAATACCATCGACTATTATTAATAATTGTTTCGGTAATAAGTTTAATCTTATTTTTAATTTATCGCCATGAATACAATCGCTTACATTATGTATTAGAAGTTTTCAACTTTTTTGGCCAGCCTTGCAACTTCTCAGACTTACAGACAAGTGACTATACATTAAAACAATATGATTGGGGACCGCAGCCAATGTGGCAAGAACTAGATAATGGTTATGTTTATTCTGCATTTTTAACTGGAAAGATCGAAGTTAAAGCTATTGCCCTTCCACTGGATGTAAAAAAGGTGCCCAGAAATTGCTACTTTTGGTTTGAAGATAAGAAGAAACCACTTACCGGAAAATTTACTTTTTCAAAAATGTTAAATACCAATTTAAGCTCTCTAACACCTTACTTTTTCTATTGCACAGCTCCTACTATAGATAATACACCATATGCAGTTTCATTTACATATAAGGCAAAAAGGGAAAGTGAGATGAAAAAAATATTGTTGGTAGATGTTCAAATAACAAACCATAAGATTCCAAATATCAACACCACAATTTGTGTTTCCCCAACAACATTTAGTAAGAAAAAAATTGTAGAGTTTTTTAGTTTTCACAGACTTGTAGGTGTTGAATCATTCATATTTTATACCAAAGATATTCCTTATCGACTTTCAAAATTGTTAATGAATTTATCTAAAAGACTTGATGCACATGTAGCTTTTTTACCTTGGAATTTTCCAAAAAATGATATTGATGTAGCTCAATCTATAATTGAATATGATTGCCTGTTCCGTACCTATGGTCGATCTAGATTTATTATTACATTGAATTTAAATGAATACCTTGTTCCTACAACATCTTATACTATTAATGAACTTCTAAATGATTTAGAAAATCAGGTTCATAGGTTAAGTTTACCCGTCCAAAAGTTTTGTATTAATAATGTAAGTAATAACAAACCTCTGGCTTTGCAAAATTATGATGTTGTAAGGGATATCAATCATAGTGATATACGCTTTATATATAAAAATGTTGAGGATAATAATTTCAATACAAATACAGTTGATAAAACAAGAGCATCAGTTCATAAGTATGTGAAATGTGGCATTTATAGTCAAACTACAACAGACTATAGCATGCAAAAGTTTTCAATCGATTTTACTAGATCTACTTTGGTACAGCTTCTTCTACATAACCAATTGTAAGCATTTTTATTGTCAATCATATCTTTACATATAATTAGGAATTAATAAAATCAGTTAGTTAATTGGAGATTGTTTTATTATTTTTTAGGAATATGATGTATTATTTTTGATTTTGTATTATGGGAATGACCTAGATGATAGACAAAATATGCAAGATTGAACAGATAAGTAAAAAATCTAGTAACTAAAGCAAAAAATACCTCATGTGAAAGTAAGTGTAAATGGTTCAACAAATATATAGGGTCAACAATAATGAGAGAAGCAGAGAAAATGGCCAAAAACTTTAGAACAAACAAAAAAGAAATGAGTAAAATAGATTTAATAGAAGAAATATCTTGGATGTAACATTATTTATAACTTCTGATTGAAACAAGACTACTATTCATGAACACCATCACAACATATGAACTGAGAGATGATGAAATAACAGTCCAGGAAGTTGAAGATGCAATAAGAATTCTAAGAAATCGAAAAGCATGTGGACCATAAGGTACCTATACAGAACAAATTAGTTAAACCCAGCCCACGAATATTATGACAGCATATGTTTTCATCTTATTCGTACCACAGGATTGTACAAAAGCACATACAAAGAAGGAGGTAGAAAAAATTGTTCAAACTAAAGAGGGCTATGTGTCTCAAGACTCTGGAAAAATAATAAAATTTACAAATAGATAACATATGTAGAAAACCTAAATGTTTTTTGTTAATGAAGATAATGTATTTTCTATAAAAATTACAGAGAAAAGATTAGCCCTCAACCTATCAACTCATATAGTCTTTTTACATCTAACAAAAGCAAATGATAGTGTACCACTTTCAATGCGCTAGTTAGCAATGAAAAAACAGGAGTAAACTAGAAAATATAAAATCAGTACAACAGTTTAACAAAAATATGACGGCAAACATTAGAACTCACAACAAATTAACCATAGAAATTCCTATTAGCAAGGGTTTCAAGCAAGGCTGCTGCATGGCCTTCATAATATTCTTTAAAATATATCTGAATGTCGAGCTAGTTAGCAATGAAAAAACAGGAGTAAACTAGAAAATATAAAATCAGTACAACAGTTTAACAAAAATATGACGGCAAACATTAGAACTCACAACAAATTAACCATAGAAATTCCTATTAGCAAGGGTTTCAAGCAAGGCTGCTGCATGGCCTTCATAATATTCTTTAAAATATATCTGAATGTCGAGTAGAGAAGGAAGTGCTGCAATATGAGCATCTCAACCACAGACAATAGATTGTATACAATACACTTCGCTGACTACCAAGCCATTCTAGCAAAAGACGAGAGTGATATAGACTATGTATTTATTATAGACTAATCCACACTAAGTTTGGCGTTACAATTACTATACAAAAAACCAAGTAGTAGTGTAGGGACAAACTGGAAAGCCTACAAATTAAAATGGGAACTATAAAATCAACCAAAGCCTTTAAATACTTGGGAGTCCAAATAACAAAAAAAAAACAGGAAGCTATGAAGAAGTAACTACATATATTCCAGGATTGGCCCAGCAAGATCCTCCACGAGTCAGTTACACGGCCTACTGTGGTGTAATAAAATAAAATTAATAAAACAATAATAGAACGTATTGAATTGTACAGCGCCGAAATCTGGGAAATTATTCAAAGAAACAAAGAAAAAATTAAAGCCATGGTAATGAACTATTGGAGACAAATGGAAATTGATCTAGACATAATACGACACAATTGAAGCCAAAAGACTAAACTGGTATGAACACCTACAGAGAATACCTGAAAGTAGATGGGCAGACAAGATAAAACAAAATGGACTCCGCTCACTAGAAGAAAAAGAGGTAGACCAAGACGGTCCTGGAGAGAAGATGTCGAAGATGAAATGGCTAGAGATTTAAAATTTGAAGATTGTTTAGGATGCAAGAAATGGTGGCAGCTAGATCTATTTCGGTTATATAAATATAGAATAAGATATTTTTAAAATACTGTTACCATTTTAAATGTTATGGCATATAGAACTGTAAATATTTTATGACTAATTCTTTTTTATTGATTCTCGTAATTTGTAGGTCAAAATATACCTGAGCTTAGCTACCAGTTGTTTACAGAAATCTCTAGACACTAATTTTAGTGAGTCATCCACGTCTCGAGGTTGAAAAACGAGTCGAGCGCCTTCACCAAAATACGAGACTATTCAGGAAGTTTGCCGAAAGTTCCAGATGACAACAGTTGTGTATATAAATGAAAGATTTTTGTATTTGAGTCAGTCATAAGAAGATCGGTAAACGCGGTATTTAAATGTAACGAAACGTGAAATAAATACAACTGTAAAGTTATTTAATAAATTAGTAATTAGCTATCGTGAGTTTTAATAAATTAGATTATAGACAATAAATTAGAATAAAGACAAATAAATTAGAAAAATATAAATAAACTCAACAGTGGTGCAGAAGTGGGATCGTAGATAAAGTTAATTTGATTTTTGAAAAAGACTTTTGAACTTTTGAAAGGTATTGTTCGTCGGGAACATCCGCGTAGTTCAGTAGTGATCGTTGTACGAAAGAACATTTAAAAAGTACGTGTGTGCCTGACCAAAGATGCTGCTAGTAGAACTTTCAGTGAAACAGTTGCGTGAGCAACTAGAAGAACGCGATGAAGACTGCAGCGGGTCCAAGAAGATCCTCCAAGAACGACTGAAGACTGTTCTCAACAAGAATGGAGACGACCCAGAGACATTTCAGTTCCAGTCAGCAGAAGAAGCCGTTTTAACTAAAATAATCGATGGAAAATTTGAGAATGTCTCACAAATGATCGAAGAGAGTTCTAGAAAAAATGATGAGAATGTTTCCAAAAGATTCGATGAAACGTCTCAAAAGATCGAAGAAAGTTCTAAAAAAAATGATGAAAGATTCAAGGAAACGTCTCAAATTATTAAAGAAGTAGCTAGACAAAACGACGAGAAACTCGAAAATGTGTCAAAAAGATTCGACGAGAAATTTGAAAATGTTTCTCAAATGATGGAAGAAACTTCGAAAAAGAATAATGAGAAATTTGAAGAAGTTTCCAAAACATTCGAAAAAGTAGAAGAGAAAATCAAACAGTTAGAGACCATGATAACTAACACGAGAGTGCTACCACCAATTAATACGGTAGCTTTAGATCCGGTAGAGATAAAAGAAGACGAGACAAAATGTAAGTTGGAAACACGGCCGAAATTTGAAGGAAGTGGAAGTTCCGTTCATGTCAAAGTCCCAACTTTCGACGGAAAATCATCATGGAACAACTACATGAAACAGTTCGAATCAGCTGCAAGAGCGAATGGATGGTCTGAAAAAGAAAAGGCTGTAAACCTGACTATCGCTCTTCGAGGAGATGCCTTAGATGTGCTCCAGACCATAGCCGTAGAGGAGACGGATGATTTCGAACAACTGAAGAAGAGGTTAAATATGCGATATGGCCACGAACACTTGGAGCATGTATATCAGTCGCAGCTCAAAAATCGAAGACAAAAGAAAGATGAGGCTCTTCAAGAATATGAAGTAGATATCGCCAGATTAGTGCGATATGCTTATCCAACGGCTCCTGAAGACATGATGGAAAAGTTGGCCGTTCAAACGTTTATTGATGGTCTTCGTGATCATGAGATGCAGAGAACACTACGATTAGCTCGTCACAAGACGCTGATGGATGTCTTATCTGCCGCCCTCGAATACGAGTCAGCTACGCAGGCCTCTGGCGGGTATAGCAAAGTTAGGACTGTAAAAGAGGAAGGAGATGAAGATAAACTTGACCAGCTCTTTAATATGATAAAAAGCATGACACACAAGAAAACGAAGACCATAAGACCGAAGACAAAACCAGAACGCGTCGGCCTTAGGGGAGCAGCTTCGACCCAGAACTTTACCAAAGACCCTCTGATACTAATAGCTTCTTTGAAATGTCGTGAAGATAGTGTATATATAGATGGAGAAATAAATGGTAAAAAGCATACGTTGTTGGTGGATACTGGAGCGACCAGAACCATTATACGCCCGACAGTTATAAACAGCCGAAAGAAACTGTTACCAACGAGGTTGCGACTTCGGACCGCCACAGGTGAAAATGCCAACATTCATGGAGAAATCCAGGTACAATTAGGAATTGGAGCAGAAAAGTTCGTCCATACTGTTATAGTTGCTGACATCGAAGAGGATGTTATATTAGGAATGGACGTAATGAATACGCATGGATTCCAATTGGATTTTAAGAATAAGGTAATCAAAGTTCGTAACGAGGAGGTATTTCTCCATCCACATGATGACAACACTATGCAAGCAGCCGTTAAAGAAGATACAGTCGTGCCTGCGAGAAGTGAAACGATAATAGTAGCGCGGCTACAGGGAATTGTGGACGAAGGAACACCTGTTATGATGGAGCCTTGGAATCATGACGACGAAGTTGGCCGTGGAATCATAATTGGAAAAGAATTAGTGACTTCGGCTAAAGAAATTCCTGTGAGACTTATTAATGTCAATGACTACCCAGTGACCATCAAGAAAGAGACAAAAGTAGGAACTTGTGCACCTGTCACATCCATAATCCGTCAGACAACAACGTCTGATAATTCCAACGATAAATTTGATCAAATGGTTGCGGTTGCTGGACAGTCTCTGAATCAGATTGAGAAAAGGAAATTAAGGGAATTTCTTCGGCAGTATCGTGATATTTTCGTACCGAAAGGAGGAAAGACGGGAAGAACTACCGTTGTTAAGCATAAAATTGATACTGGTAATGCTAAGCCAATTCGTCAAACAGCTCGACGATTACCACAGGCGAAAAGAGAGGAAGCTGAAACGATTGTTCAGGAAATGAAGAAAGACGGGGTGATAGAACCTTCTACGAGCCCATGGGTCTCTCCGGTGGTCCTGGTTAAGAAGAAAGACGGAACAACGAGGTTCTGTGTGGATTACCGTTTGCTGAACAACGTTACCAAGAAAGATAGTTATCCTCTGCCTCGGATCGATGACACATTAGACACATTGGCTGGAAGTAAATTATTTTCTACTTTGGACTTGAAGTCTGGATACTGGCAGGTAGAA